GATTGTGCCGTTAGACAGTGGCTGAGACAAATAGCCTAATCTGGCACAAATTAGCTTGGCTTCCACAGATAGTTTTATACAGCAATGTAAATTATATTGTCAGGGCCAGTCACTTTCCTGCTTCGAGTGCAGCTAACAAGAAGCCATGGAGACATTAGCGGGGCTGCCACGCGCTCCCAGGGCTGCTGCGGAGCCGCTGCCAGCCGGGATGTGCAGGGCAGCGTTCCCTGGGTCCTGCTCAAGGGGGATCCCTGGGCTGGGATCCCTGTGCCGGGACCCTCAGGGCCACCAGTGGCACCGGTGGCACCAGGGACACCAGGGGCACCGGTGGCACCAGGGGCACCAGGGGCACCAATGGCACCAGTGACACCAGTAGCACCAGTGGCACCAGGGGCACCAATGGCACCAGTGGCGCCAGTGACACCAGTTACACCAGTGGCACCAGTGACACCAGGGGCACCAGGGGCACCAGTAGTACCAGTTACACCAGTGGCACCAATGGCACCAGTGACACCAGTGGCACCAGTGGCGCCAATGGCACCAGTGGCACCAGTGACACCAGTGGCACCAGTGGTACCAGTGGCACCGATGGCAGCAGTAGCACCAGTGGCACCAGTGGCACCAGGGGCACCCTCCGGCAGCAGTGACAGGGGTGGCTCTGGATGCCCGTGGGAAATGTCACCTCCACGCCACTGTCCCCACTGGAGCCAGCCCTGGGTCACCTGGCCAGAGGCACAGAGCCAGCCACAGGCACGGGGACTGGAGGGCACATCCCTGCCAAGCTGCACAGGGAAGGAAAGCTGGATCAGAGCTCTCCTGAGAGCTGCACCCCCCCAGAAGGCCCCAGAACCCTTGGGGGTTCTCCAGACGAGAGCCTGGGAGCATCTGTGGGAGCAGCCAAAGCCGAATTTCCCTCTGTCAGCAGAAACTCAGTTTTGATCCTCCCGGCTCCTCAGCTCGATCCTGAATGGAATTAGGATGGGCTTAAGCGAGAGAGGAAAGCAAGCCGAGCACATCTAAACGGGGGGGAAGGCGAGTAATCTGGAACTGCTGTCACAGCACAAGAGCCGTGTCAGGTGCAAACAGGCTGAAAAGCATCACCAGAAGATGTATTTTCATGCAGCTGCTGGCTAACCCATGGAATTCATCACTGCGAGGTACCACGGGCGCCCTGAGCAGCATGAAAATGGGATGTTGAGACAAGAAGTGGCTACGGAGTCATTTAATGAGCCGGGTTCAGTTTAAGCTGAGCCGTAAGGGATCCGAATCTTGCTGTAAGGCTGGAGCAAAGTGCGGGAGCGGAGACTGGAGGCTCTGCCGGCTGCAGCGCTCCCAGGCCTTGCTCCCAGGGCTCCCCTCACAAACGGTGGGGTGCTGCATTTTGAAATCCTGAAGGAGAAGAGCAGGTGGAAATGCAGGCGATGGAGGGACCCCCACACCTTTCCAGTCACTGGGTGGTGTCCGAGGCCATCCTGTGTGCCACAGCCGGCCCACGGCGTGCCCGAGCTGACCAGGAGCAGTTCTCCCATCCCATAATGGAGAGGCAGCGGTGTGGGGAGCCGGTCTGTGACTTCAGAGAAGCCGGTCTGTGACTTCAGAGACGGGAAAAGGCGAGGAGCAGCTCCTGCCAGGCTCAGTTCTCCCATCCCATAGTGGAGAGGCAGCGGTGTGGGGAGCCGGTCTGTGACTTCAGGGACGGGAAAAGGCGAGGAGCAGC